TGGAACATACTGTGGCACGATGTTGTTCTGACGAGGCGGGTCCATCGTGCGTGGCTGAACCGGCGCTCCTGTCCCTGGTGCCTCCGTCCGGTTTAATATTGGCTGGTTACTAGTTCCTGCTCCGGGCGTATTGAAGAGATTTCTTGGCTCATAGCTCGGCGGGAGATGCGATCGATATCTTCTTCTCATGACTTCCTCTGAAGCATTCTGATCCAGCCTAAGCCGATAGGCTTGAGCTTCCAACTCGGCCCGTTCTGTAGCCATCCTAGCATTCTCTGCCGCTAGGTCCGCTTTAGCCTGAGTTATCTGATCTTTCACCTTTGCGATCTCCATGTTGTGCTGATCTCGGGCTGCTGCGTCCACCTCTGCAGCCATCAATATTGCCAAAGCGTCGAACAAGTCAGACAGAACTTGAGCCGGGGGTGGCGCAGAGCTCCCTGCCCCCGCCGGCGTGGCTGTTGCTGAACCGGAGAGCAATGCTGCGGCGGTTGATGAGTGGGGCGCTGACTGTGTACCGGCCATGAAGATAGCGGCCCGGTTTGGCAGATCAGGGGAGTCCGGAATACTGTTACCCTCGGAGCCTCCACTAATCCGGCCATCCTGCAACTGATAGAGCGATTCGGTTTCTCCAGAAGATTCGTCATCAGAGCGTACTACGGTTTCTCCATCGGATGTCGGTCCGTCCTCATATTCTGCTCCATGAATGACACCTACGAAAACATGCTTTGCCATGGGCTAAACCGGGGAAGGGCTTGCACGCTGAGCCGTCTCGATGATGTCGGTGCAGCTGTCCGGCTCAGGGCCCGGTTCGCCAATCTTGCCGATGAAGACGTGAATCCCACCAAAGGGGACCCGGTACCCGTATTCGATTGAATCGGCCTCGGGGCCCCATCCCGCGTTGTTGATGTAGAGCTTGCCGCGACGACTCATCGTCATCCGGCCCACAGCGTAGCTTGAGTCCATCAAAGCTATCCTTTAAGAACTCGAAACCATCATGCGCACGCCCCATGGTGGGCGCCAACTGTCGTGGGTTTGTCACGACAGATGTCCTTATGAAAGGACTTAATCGTGGAGCCATCGCAACGGGTTAGCTTAAAGGGGTTAAACCGGACAAGGGGACACGGGGAGTTTTATACTAGTTCGGCCCCTTCGATGAAGGTAAAGCCTACGTCTAGTTGTGATTGGTATTGCTAGGGTTTCGATGACCAGGGAGCGAATCCGCTTTGACTGGCTGTCGAGTTGTTGTCTCTCGTCCCTAGACCGCTGCCGGGTCGTCCCTTTATATACATAGGTTGACGCCCGTCAGTTTATAGAGTCCTGAAACCGGATCATAAACGTGTCCGGTTCAGTCTCTATGCTTCCTATCTTACAATGCAAGTTACATAATAAGGTCGATTTACATCTACAAGCCTTAACTCGCCTTTGGGCCTTGGGCCTTCATAAAGCGCCATCATTCTTACGTCTTCATGGGCTTCTAACCTTCATAAAGTTAATCCGGCTACTCCTGGCCAGTTTACGCCCAGCAGTAATATCCCCAACAATACCAATCTTGGATGATGAGGCCAGCGAGGAAGGTGGGTCGTTAGACTCGAACTCCAAATCTTCAGGGTCTCGACTTCGTGGTTGCGGGACGACAACACCTACCCCTTTTGAAATGAACCTTGGGTGATGGGAGGTCCGTTGCGGAGCTCTCTCCGCTGATCTACACCCATGTTTGCAAGTGGATGCGCTGAGACCACACTGTGTGCTAGGGACTGTCAGATCGTGCTTTGGTGCAGGATATCCATGGTACACTCGGGCCCACCGCCTTGGTGCAATACACTGAGATCTAGTGATGTCTTCGCCACATACCACTGAACGACGGGCCGTACGTGCTTACATGGAGTTGTACGAAACCCAGAATTTACACTGCCAAGTCATGCTACCTTACCCTCTTTCAAGGCTCGATCTCGGACCCCCACTGGCAACTCTCTTTTGAAGACCTGGGCTCCACTCCACATCGAAGTGTTCAACTGGCTAGCCCTCCAAAACCGTTGTTGGATGACGGACCGTCTTGCTCGTCATGGGCTTCCCTATGAGGAGCGGTGTGTTCTCTGCAACCAAGTCCCTAAGGACATGGAGCGACTCCTCATGAGTTGTTCTTTCTCGCATCGGGTATGGCACGAAGTGCTTTCCTGGTGCCGATCCACGCCGACACTGCCTTGCCCGGTGATGTGCTTCTTTGAGTGGTGGGTGTCTTCCTGCTCGCATGCCCCCATCATGCACCGCCAAGATCGATCATCCGTCATCATGCTCACGGCCTGGTCCATTCAGAGATATCGCAACATCTTCGACGGGCAGCAACCCTTCGTCTCGCATCTCGTGCATGATATCCAGGACGAGGCACACCTATGAGCCAAGGCCGACACCAAAGGAATGACCAGCCTCCTCCCGGAGACGTAGTTTTTTGTAAGTTGGGGCTGAGCAACTCTGGTCTTCCTGCTCTGTTCATCAAGCGTATATGTCTCATGATGCATCACCCACTGTATTTTTCACTTTCCTTCGAACAACTGGAAGACACACAAAGCTTTGCGATTCGTGAAAAAAATATCAAAGGTTACTCGACCGTGCCAAATGCAGTTCAGCTCTGCCTTGTCTTCTGCTTATCCTCCACTCGATCTAGACCGTCCATTCCCCGAACCGGCGACGCGTCAAGCCTGCAGCCGGTCGTCGCCGGCCTTGCATCCGAAGGCAGCACGATAGTCACGTGCCATCCCGCGTCTCCCTCCCTCTACTCCCTCCGCAGCAAGCAAAGCAGGCCGGCACGCACCCGCAAGTCCTCACCTCCCCAACCCCCACTCCCGCGAGGGCGCGAGATCTCTCTCCCCCTCCCCCTCAGATCCGCCCCGCCGACACCGCCCGCCTCCCTCGCCGCCG